GGCCGAGGGGTTTCGGGGACCCGGCAGGGCGGTTTCAGCCCTGACGTGGGGGGGTGGGTCTGTGCCCAGCCAGCGGCATCGGTAACTGTTCAGCAGCAGCTGCCGGATGGACCCTGTGCCCTGCATTTGGTGGGTCTCGGGCCCCTCCCAGTGCCCCTAGTATTTGACCCCCTTGGGGCCGGGCACTGAATGGGGCCAGGGAGCCCCATCTCCTCTGCCCCACAGCCCCGGTCACGCTGGCAGGAGGGGCCACTGCTGAGCGCTGGCCTGTTGGGTCTTCTCTCTCCCTGCCCAGGGCTTCATCCCAATGGCAGTTCCTGACCTGCTGCGAGGAGCCGTGTTTGTAAGTGCCCGGGGGCTGGAGCCCTGGCCCCTCCCCGCCCAGGAACATCTGCTCCCCATCTCCGCTGGCCACAGAGCCCGGCTGCCTCGCTGCCATGACCCAACCGGTGCCCAGCCCCTCTGCCCATGTGCTCCGGGTCACCGTGATGCTGGCTCACGGGCTCCAGCTCTGTGTTCCCAGCGGGGCCATGGCCTTCGCTGCCCCCAGCTCCACAGGTGCACCCGGCCTGATGTGCCTTAAGCCCTGTATCCCCACCATGGCCCACTCCCCACCCGCTTGCTCCTCCCTGTGTCCCTGGAGTGCCCAGGGAGCTGCCCACTCTGTACCGGTACCTTGCGGCCCCCCACCCCGATGTCTCCCACTAGCCGCAGGCCCATCGGTCGAGTGACCCCACCAAGTTTCTAGCTGCCTCTTGGTGCCTTGAAGTTGGGATGACGGAGGGAGGCAGGTGCATGGTGATGGGGTGGCCCTTTGGGCCTGGGGGAGCCTCGGTGGAGCTGGGGGGCCATGCCGGTGACTAGGGTACCATGGAGGTAACCAGGGCTCTGCTGCCTCTGCCCTCAGGAAGGCTGCCCATCGGTCGAGTGACCCCACCAAGTTTCTAGCTGCCTCTTGGTGCCTTGAAGTTGGGATGACGGAGGGAGGCAGGTGCATGGTGATGGGGTGGCCCTTTGGGCCTGGGGGAGCCTCGGTGGAGCTGGGGGGCCATGCCGGTGACTAGGGTACCATGGAGGTAACCAGGGCTCTGCTGCCTCTGCCCTCAGGAAGGCTGCGGCATGCAGCCCAACGCCAGCCCCTCCCCAGTGTACAACATCGACCCCTACCG